CTCTGATGCCAGGCAAGGAAGGAATCAGTTCCGTCTGTCTCTTGCAGTTCTGTGTTCCTACCTAATGATTTATTTGTCAGACTTTCAAGGAAATATGCTATCCCTTCAACAAACACTTAAGCACGTACCTTACCATAATTGTGCTTAATTCCCATTGACGTGGGACTCAAGTATGCACTGAAGACCTTTTCTGAATCACTTAATACTATTATATTATCCTCTTACTTCCCCAGCAAAACACCTGGACGTTGCCGAAGTGCACTCGGCAACAGAGGTAAAACTGAGCCTGGCGGTGGCACATTAGAGGGGCTACAGCCAGGGCAGGGTTAGGATGCTCCTGCTGTGGGGAAGGGACTGACAAGGGCTGTCTTGGACCGTATTCTGCCCCAGCCCAGCAGTGCTGCGGAACGAGGCGATCCTAAATCAATAGCAGCAACGGTCACAGACCAGCAAACTGCAGGGGTCTGGGGCCCTCCCGGGTGGCACGAGCGGCACTAGCACAGCTCTGCTGAAGGTTGCATCTGGAGTGGAACAGCTCCAAATCATTTTTATGGGTGATAATAAAAATGTGTTACCACATAATCAACAGAAAACAGTGGCAACTGTATCCTTTTCATTAAAACAACATGTTTTAAATGAGCGCTCTGCTGATAAACGCTGTAAAAGATTTAAAGGCATGCACAGAATAATCTAGTACGCTCTTTTATAAATTGACTATATGTGCTTAGCAGTCATTAAGGCTTGAACCATAGTAACAAGTTTATTTTCCCTGAGCGCAAAATGATAGAGGTCAGGAAGTCTCCAGACATGAAATTGCTGAGAAATTCTAGGTTTTATGATTAGAACTGAAGAAGTGCCCAAAAGAAATAAAGTCGAAAGAAGAGAGTGTCACATCTGTGAGATCCACAGAGCCAAACTAAAGAAGGAAAAGCACAAGGGATTCAGTCACATTCAAAATCTCAAACTACACACAGTGGATTCAAGGAGGAGTGCCCGCTCATAAGCTAGCACGCAGCACAAAGGGGGTCCTTACGTGTTATTGCAACAGCACTGGAGCCATTCATCTATTTTCTGTCACGTTCTGTTTTTCTTAAGGCTGCCATTGCTGTAGTCAAGGGACTTGCAGAGAATTCCCACTTTCATTAAACAAAAAAAGAAAGTTTCTAGCCCTCTGAGTAAACTGCTGGAAATTGATACCACAGAGGCTCACAGCCAGAAAGCAAATTAGCAAAATGTGCAGTGTATTAAAGTCTTGGTATTTTCTAGTCAATAAGGTTGAGGTAGAGAGAGGGCTAACACCAAGCGAAGAACGCGTGGTTTTGATTGGAAAACCTCATTGCAAGCAGTGGCCACCTCTGTTGCTATTATCACTTCCAAGGCAGAAGTTATGTTTCCATGAAGAATGGAGGCGGAAAACATCCTAATGCCACCATACCAATGAAATATGTCTTGATGCCGTGGGTAATGTTAGTCACCCAGCCAACCAGAGCAGGCACAGAGAATTAGCTGAAGGGCAGCGCTTAGAGTTGCTGCCAGTGGTGGCAGGAGGGCAGATCCCCACAGAAGACACGAAGGCCTTTCCTCCCCAGTTTGCGCTGGGTTGCACAAGGTAAAGGATGGGCTCAACTCAGCAAAACACTCAGGCTTGTCTTTTTGCATGTATGGAAGAAAAAAGTCAAATCTGAGCCTAAATGGACACACTGAACTGGAGCCTCTGGCAACAGAGGTCCCAGCGGCATGAGGGCTTGTCTCTGGTTTCCAGACCCCACCTTTCTGACCCAGTTCAGCTGCGTCTGGGAGCTGGAAAGAACCGAAATGGGGCCGCATCTCTGCCAACACTGCAGCAGGAGACGGGCCCGACGTAGGAGGCGGCGTGCGAACGCGACGGGAATGCAGGAGGGATGACGCACGGCGCTGGCCAAGGAGCTCGCGGGCCAGCGCCAGCGGCAGAGGTTATTGCCTGCAGAACTCACCCCCGGGCCTTCCCAGTCCCGCGGAGCCGCCGGGCTCACCTCTGTACAGGATCTGGCGCTTGCTCTTCTCCCGTGGCTCAAAGCCTGGCTCTCCACTGTGGGGCCCGCTCACGCACAGGGCCCTCAGCAGGGACATTAGTGTTATGTGCCTGAAGCTCAGGCCCAGCTTACTCAACCCACCTCCCCCCCTTTTCTAATTGCCAGCATAAACTTTCTGAACTTCAGACACATACCACATTTCTTGCGTCAGATCAAAAGCGCAGGCCAGGGACAATGGAAAGGGGAGGAAGGTTTTCATCTTCTTGAGATGTCCAGTGTCAGAGGACTTTTTTTGGCTTGTAGTGGCTTTCAAGAACCCTATTTGGGTTGTTCCCACACATCAAAAGAAGATTTCACAAACACAGCCTCCTCCCATCATCTGTCCTCCGCTCACATTCCTGATGTCCTGTAACTAGTAGGTGCTAGAAACAAGGAAAGAACAGCCGGGCTTCCAAAGATTTCAAAATTGATACCACAGGGCTCGGAATGCTTTTTCTTTGGATAAAAATCCATGGAAATGCAGGGGGAATCATTTGACATAATCCAGATGGATATTATTAATTAATAAACAGAGGATATTTGGTCTCTTGAAGCACTGGCGGAATTAACTCCCCTCCATCCCTCTGTAAAGAGGAGGGAACGAAACTGCATGAATCCAGCTCATGAGCTAAAAATTCCAGTGTAAAATAAGATTCCCTTGATCTTGTAAAGACACAAGCTGATTAATAATGGTAATTGCATAACTTGTTGGACATATCTTTCTTTATAGCAAATTATTTGGCAATATATAGGAATTTTTTTAACCATTCATCAAGACACAGAGCTAAAGAGGGAGTTTTACAAAATATGATGGAGAATGGTATCTCTCTTGTAGCAATATGAAACCTGTGAACACAAGGCTCCAACACAGATGCAACTGCTTGGTTTCAAAAGCCAAAAGACATTCAGTAAGCGTCCGCTGAACTCTGAAGAACCAGGTGCCCAGAGAGAACCTGGGTGACTTCATCCTTATTACATCTTAGAGGCTTTGGCCA